TAAGCAAATCAGGATGATTGGCCACCTGAACTTCATACTGAGCAAATAAGAATCACTGTGTAGAGCCAAGTTCCAGGCTTCTGTAGCTTTTACAAGAGAGTTGGCATTAGGGTTGGAGTTTAGTCTAGTGGTTTATAGCATGGGACTTCAAGCTGTGTAGACTTGGGTTTGAATCACATTTCAGGAAATGTGACTTTGGATGTGTTGATGGTTCCTAGGAAACTGACTTTGAAATGGAGAATACTGTGTACAAAGTTCACTAAGGAGAGCTCTTGGGATCAACCCCTATGGAAGGGAAGAGCAGGAAGAGGACTGGGCAGAGGTGGGTGATGGGCTGCAATGAAGTCCCAATGGAGGTCTCAGCTAATCTCACAGGAAGCCCTGGAGCCAGGTAGGACCAGAGTTATCTTGAATTGAGAAGGTTGGGCCTCTCTGCTTTCTTGCCATCAAGTCCCTGGGTGCCAGCTGCCTTGCCAGCTGTCTCCCTGGAGGCTGACAGCTAAGAGCTGTCTATTAACAGTATTCCCTCAGCTGTGAAAATAGAGCCTTCTCACCAAGAGTCTATGGGCAGCACATCACAGTATCCAGTACAAGGTGTATGACTTCCTCTGAGCCGTTTCTCCTTGAAACAGAACCAATGGTCTTAAGATTACCTATCTCGGAGGGTTGTTGAAGTTTAAGTGAGTTACTATACATATATCACAGTTTATCTGACACTTTGCAAGAATTCAAGACATGTTAGCTAATCATAAATACTGAAGTTAAAATTGGGAGGAGTTTGGAATGGAGGCTGACTGCTCCAAGAAAACCTACTTGGAGGAAATTCTATGTGATTAGTATAAACAAGGATGGACAATGTTTGACTTTTTATTGTAGAATGTGTTTTACTAGGTTGGTCATTAAACAAAGATATAAAGTAGGTGAACAATTGAATCCATCCAACACTTACTTAACAAGCATGTGTTAAGAGGAGGAGGGTAGACCCTGAATGAGATTTAAAAGATAAGCATAGTCTTATAGTAGCCATAGTATTAGTAAATTATGTATCTATAATTTAATGGGTAAAGGTAAAACCTAGGAATGGGGTTCCATGAGAACTTAATATGTATTTGTCAGTAGCAATGGGATGCAGGAAGAGGGACTCGACACTGCAATATGCTAGGGGTTGTATATCAGTTTTTTAAATGACCTCCAATAAGAGATTTTCATATTCATCAAAATATGGGATTGAAATTGCTAGAGTTTATAATAAAAGTCACATTTTAACCATTAACTTGATGAAACATTTTTTGGGGGGGCAATTTGCAGTCTGCATGGAAAATTTCAAAAACATTCTGGTCATTTGTCAAAATACAGAATCCTACCCTTGAAACTTTAAGCCAAAATAATTTGAAATAAGGAAAAAATAAAAAGCTGTACACTGGAAGATGTTCTTTGTAGTAGAGTCCATAATAAGAGGGCTCCTTAAATATTTGGTAATAGGGAAACCACTATTTCAAATTAAAATCCAACCTTCTTTGGAAGGAATAGGTTACTAACTGCCAGCTCTTTTAGTGTTGTAAAAATAAGAAACCAAATGACAGGAAGTATGTTCGTGAAGTTATTACTATATTATAAATATTTTAAAAACCTTTTTTTATTATTGCTTCACTAGGTGAACCTTAGGAAAAGAAACATATTTGTTTCAAAAACATACCCTGAAGTCACTCAGTATAAACATCCAGACCATGGTTTAACATGGTGTACTGTAAATATTTTAAAAGTTCTGTATGATGTTTAAAAAACGTTCTGGCTAGCCAAGTCTCAGAGATAGCAAAGGGGCCATCCTGCGGCATGACTGTGACATACAAAGGAACTACTTCAGTCCCAACCTCCTCTCTCATGCCTTGTACCCCAGGATGCAATATTCCACTGTCTTACTTACTCCCGGGCCAGGTACCAGGCAACTAGGGACCAACTTGCATGAAGTCCACCAAAATTATCCCATGTAAGCTATTTCCTCCACCATCCCTTGCCTTTCCCATGGAAACCCCAATAAAAACAGAGGTGGGTACTCTTCCCTGACTCCTATCTTCTGTCCTGACCCTCTGGTGCCTTTTTCATGTGGCACTTTGTGTGTGCTGTGCCTTCTTCTCTAGGACCTGTGAGTGTAGTGGTTGTTTTTCTGAATTCCTCTTCCATCTTCTGTTGTGTTAGCACCAGACTGACCATCTCATAAAATAGGTGTCTTCTCAGGAAAATGCTTGACGTTAGTCCTCAGAGGAAACAGAGAAAAACTTAATTGTTGGCTATATTTTAATAGCACCTCCTCAGTGCATCATCCCCATTCCATTCCATTTAATTAGATCATAAAGTACATGTTGGTGTCTGAGGTACAGAGGCCCATGAGCGATGAACCTTAACCCCCACCCTGTTATCCAGAACCACGGCTCCTGTGTCAACAAGTAGCTGTCAGTACTTGTTCTGTTAGAAGTAATAGAAAATGTTATAGAAGTAACTTTGGTTTTTTATTTTTTAAATCAATGTTTTAAGAAAAATAAAAAGAAATATATTGGCCGACTTAGGATGAAAAGTCCAGAGTGAGCTTGCTTTGGGCATGGCTGGATTTAGGGCTCAAATAACATCCTCAAGACTCATATCAGTCTGTCTCTTGACTCTGCCTTCCAATGTTGTGACCTTTGTCTCGGTTACATGTGACAGCAGCAGAACCAATTCTCAGAATTTTCTCAGGTTTCAGAGCTAGTAGATAAGAATAGGAATCCTATTCCCAAACATCGAGAGAAAATCTCTCCTTAACCCTGATTGGGTCATGTGACCACACCGCATCATCCTCAGGGAAGACTGCAGTGGACTGATGGCTTTGCTCTGGGTCATGTGACAACCCTGCAACTATCACAGGAAAACCCAATGGATTAGGGCCTGGCCCTGGATCACAGGACCATGAACACTCCTGAATTGGTGGGGAGGAAGGTGCGTGGGTCATAGAGCAGTCTTTGGAGTAAGCAGAGCTCACTTACAGTGGGGAAGGATGACATTAAAGAGGAAATCACTTACTAGGATAGAGTGAGTGAATGCTGGGCAGAAAACTCAACAGATGTCTACTACAGTTGAACTACTGTCATTTTATTCTAGCTTTGCTGGGAAAAAGCCAGTAAGAACAAATTCAGCAAATCACAGTCTTGCACTGAAAAAAAGAAACACAAGTGTCTAAGGAGCTCAGCCTTTTTCTCTAAATAGGACATAGTTTATACTATTGAAGACAGATGCTTGTTTATTCTATGCTGAGAGCTCGCCAGGCAAAAGGATTCCAAATATCCTTCCATCTGTAGATCTTCCCAGGGCTTTGCAAGTTTTGTTAGTTAATGAGAAAATTGGGGGCGGGACAATTTCAAATGAAGAAATAAATACACTTGGAGGAGAGATAAAGGACTATTTCACAATTCTGGAATTTAGAGCAATAAACAAGTAAACAGTCTTATTGGCTCAAAGGGATAGTCCTTTCATCTATGAAACAACTTTATTTGAGTTCTGTTGGCATCTGGAGAGACTTATCCTATGGCTATATTATAAATCACTTTTCATGTTTTCTGTACATATTGTCCTGTTGGGCCTTGTGAAACAAGAAATTATTTGCTGCATTTAATTGTTGTGTGATGAAGTACTTCTGTAATTTACATGTCCTTTAGTATATTATTAATTCACATGCTTTTCAGAAATGTAAGTTTGGAAGCAATTTTCATGAAAATTTCCTACAGTATATGAATCTGACATAATTGGACTAAAGTCTTGTTTATCCAAACTGCCTAGGCCAATGCCATTTTGTGGTTTTTAAAAATAGGGCAATTTTTTGGAAATGATCCCTAATGATGAACATTTGAAGAGGAATTCTGAGCTTGGAAAAAACGTTTGTTCCCAACACAGGTGTAATCAATTCCCTTATGATTTAATTTAATAAAACTAATCTTTAAGAATTGAAAAGGACATTTCTTTCTTTGACTAGCCAAACTTGACTAGCCATACTGGAGAGCCTGGTGGATTCTTATCCAGATGAATTGTTACCTAGGAGCTACGGATTTAGAACAAATTGGGGGATAATCCTGTGATGAATGATACCAGTTTTTGAGTTTCATTGTTCCACTCTGGTTACAGAGTAGTCTCATTTATGCAACCTCAAACCATATGCTTTATTATGGCCCAGGATATTTCCTATTGGGTTAAACTCTTAGGAGGAACAAAGAATGCTTTAAAAGTGTGCCAGCCAGCAACTGCCTACAGCATGATTCAATGGATGTTAGAAGGGATCTTGCTTAAAGATCATGGTTCCACAGAAATTCACCATAATATAGGCACTCAACAAATATTTGCTCAGTGAAGGAAAAAATAAATGAGTTAGTATAAAGTCACCATGCAGACGAAAATTACAAAAGCACCACAGAATTCCTCCTAATTTCCTTCCCTCGTTGCTAGCCAGGTCAACGTTTATCAGTACTACAACAATTAAAATTGTCATTACAGAAAATAACGCCAGACCTCAGAAAAATATGTGTACCTGACTTCCCAGAAATAAAATTGTGAACTTTGATAGAACTTTCAAAATCACGTGAAATCAGCTCCCTAAATTGTGAAAATTAACACATAATTCTCTTTGTTCCATCATACTGGCAGAATTTTATCTGATGGGGAAACCCACTACCATTATGTCTGAGTGATTGATGCCCCCCAATGTATTAGTCACAAAGAGCTCCTGGACTGTACTACTCCAGGGGCAACATTTGCAGAAACTTCCATGTGAATGGCTGCGTGGAGTTTATAACCCAGCACATCCCTGCTTATTCTACTATACATCTACTGTTGAATTTGTTGCCAACCTGAAGCCTCAGCTCATATGGAGTTGGTCTAATTTTTTCAAACTTGATCTCACATTAAATACTAGCTTTGCAAAAAAAAAAAATTGCTTTTATTTTCTCCCTTTTTGTCTTATTTGTGTGGCTGGAACTCAGGAAGAAAAGGAAAACCAAGAAGAACCTAAAGACCTCAATTTGGGACTGAAGATGACACCAGGTAGGATATATTCAGTGTGACTCCTTTTTCTGAGCTGCTGTTGCTGACAGCACGACTCACGGTATCCAAAAGTTTTGCAGATGACCAAGGAAAATCTGTGTGTTCCAAATGATTGGAAACATGACTAGAAATGTCACTTGTGATGTATTCCAGACACGACATCTGGACAATCTGGTCACGATGCAGAAAATAGCTGCTTCTCTTCCTTTTTTCTTTTATTGATTGCAGTTCTTGATGAACAAATACTTGCAATGAAGTAGATGATAATGATGCAGAAATTTCAAATTCAGTAATACTAAAATAAGTGGTATATTTATTTACTGAGGTATTTATGATTACACTGGAAAATATTATTTAGATGCATTTGTGTGTGTGTGTGTGTGTGTTGGTTAGTGTATAGTTACATGTATAGCTTTGCTAAAGTTATTAACCCCATAATATACTTCTATGGGTATGGAAAGAAATATATGATGAGAACTTTTACAATTTAGTCTCTGACTATGATTAATAATAATAATAATGAGAGCAATGGTCATAAAAATAAATATTAGTTAAATGGATCTTATAATAATTAAAGCTAAATCTCAATATTCTCAATTTCTATTTTCTAACAGCTTTTAGTTTGGTGCTTTATATGATTAGGTTAGACCAGGGCTTCAGATGTGTTTGCCCATGGCAGAAGTTCATGTTCTTGTAATTTAATGAAAGTCAAGAAATGGGGAATGGTAATGAAAAGAATATGCAAAGTGAGGGGAGAAAGGTGGCATCTTGTTCAGATATAGAGGGATTAACCAATTAGCCAATTCAACTGCCTCCTTCTAAACCCCTCTCAAGTTGAATGTACCCCACCACCAGTTTCATCCCTTTGCAGGCTCTTGCATTCTTGGCTTCTCATCAGTCACATCTCATGTCAAATGTCCACTTCCAGAGCCCACCTTTTCAGTCCTTCAAATCACTCTCCGTTTCACTGCCCATTTTTATTTTTATAACTAAATCATTTTTCTGTTGATTGACTTACTTATTGCACTCAGAGAGCAGGGACCATTCTTGTTTAGTGGTACCACTGGCACCTTGGACAATGCCTGGCACACAGTATTTGTTCAATAAATTCTTATTGAGCTTTCTATGTATAAGGCATTTTATTCTCTTAATGGAGATATTCTCTTAATTTATAAGAAGTTATAAATTTCTTTTTTTTTAGATTTATTTATTTATGCATACAAGAACTGGGGTGTAGACCAGAGGTGGGGGGGTCATGAGAGGATTCACCATAGAGAGTGGGGAGCAGAACAGGCAGATTGACTGAAATACACTGCTGAGGGGAGCAGTGGGTGAGACAGGAGAGATCTGCTATGCCATGTGGGTTGCTTGCTGGTTGGTGGGGATCAAAATTGTGCTGCAGTGGCTGGCGATAGCTTGAGAGTGCCGTGTCTTTAACCCCTGCACCACCAGGGAGATCCCCTTATAAATTTCTGGGATAAAAATGAGAATAAGGGCCTCCCTGGTGGCTCAAGGGGCTTAAGCACAGCACTATGAAGCAATTTGCAGCCTCTGCAGCACGAGTTCAATCCCCGGGCAGCCAGGGAGAAACCCACATGGCACAGCAGTCCTCTCCTATCTCGCCCACCTCTCCCTTCAGCAGTGTATTTCAGTGGGTCTGTCTGTTCTGTTCCCCACTCTGTCTCTGGTGAATCCTCTCACCCCCTGCACCTCTGGCTTGTACCCCAGTTCTTATATGCATAAATAAATAAATCATTAAAAAAATGAGAATAAGATATGACACTTGCCCTCACAAAAACAAATTATGTCTAAGAGACAGACAGGTTTTGAACATGGGAAATGTTCAAAATGTGAAAAAAAAATCAATATAATCAAAATGCTACGGGGAGCTTTGAAAGACATAAATTTGCCTGAGGACAGCAGAATCAAAGAAGTCTGTAGGTTGATGATGCTTGTAAATAATTCTGGAGTTTAAAAAAGGACATAAAAGGGTAAAGTTGGGGCATGCATATCAGACCTGAAAATTGTTCTCGGTGCCATTTTTGCAGACTTAACCTTGATTTTCGGTTCCTCAGCAACAGAAGCAGGCTGGGATGATAGCCATTGCTGGGTCAGTGCAAATTTGGCTAACCAAGAGACCTTGACTTTCCCAACTGCTATTATCAATGGTGTTATTTCCCCTCTTGGCAGAGTGTCTACTATATTTTGAGTACTTTTTTTTTCCACATCCAATGCCTTTTTTTCCCCACATCCAATGACGTCTCAGGATGAGAAATCAGAGATCTTATTCTTCAACAGTCTTCTAGGATTCCTGGATCTTTAGGCTTTTGGGGTTGTTGCTAAAAATCCAGTCTAGTGATAATGATTTCCCTCTATAAACACATTTGGAGTTGAAGGTCCCCATGTAACATAATTCCAAAGAAAAGAAGGGACATGGTTTACTTAGAAATCTATAATCTAATTTCTTGTGATAGGATTATACACTTTTAGATTTTGACTAAATGACTTTCCCCCCTTTTCTTCAAAAACACCAAATAACCCTGTTCTTTTAGTAGAATTTCAGGTGAAAAGTGAGCAGTTTCTCACTTTCTCTAAAAAATGTTTGTGCCCCCTGACTCTGGGCTTCCTGTGGAGTTTCACATCTTTATTCAGAATTTAGTCCAACTGTGTAGAGTCTTTACATTGTAGCTCTAGTATGCCTGTATCCCTAATCTTAGTCCAGTCACTGCAGATCTACTGTACATATTAACCACTCTCGAGATTCTGTTAGGCATAAGTTGTGTCTGCAAGGTTAATCAAAAAGTATGAACATAGGCTACATTAATTCAAGAAACATTCATTGAATGCCTACTATGCACTCAATATTGTGCTAGGAATTATGCTTTATATAGAATGGTAAATAGACTAGACTTGATTCCATGCTTTATAAGGCTCAGAAGTAAGTGAGAAATACAGCCATAAACAAAAAGAAAATGTAAATTATAGAGAAATCATAGTCTTTAGACAAGTAAAATATGTTATAAAGAAAACAGGGTGCTGTGGAAGTCCTGCCTTTGTAGAGTGTATTGTTAAATAGGACCTATAACAGATGGACACAAAAACTAAGCAACAGGTGGGATGCCCCAGGCCATAAACACACAGGTGTTGGGGGAGAGAAATCCAATTTGAGGGCTCCCAGAATTCCACCAAGAGATTGTGGCATGTGAGCCGGATCTGAGAGATAGAATGGAATCCATTTGTGAAGACTGCCACATCAGCCAAGTCATTTATAAAGTGAAAATTAAATACTGTAAATTGACTCCAAAGTGATACCTATTTGGAGTTCAGCCCATTTTTTGTGCTAATGACCTAACCCTTAGGTATCTGTCACTTTATCCTGAGGTTTATAATTTATCCTTGCAGGGGCCACCCAGGGGACAATGACAGGTTAACTGGGAATATGTTTAAACTTTACCACCATTTATTATTTGTCCTTTGTTCTCTGATAACTCGGTGTAATGTCTCTTCGAGGTTTTTTGAGTACGTGACCTGCCCTCACGCCCACCCGGGATAAGGTAGTATTTCCCCTGGAGTTCATGGATATATTAGCTGAGTTGACAGGGAAGCCCGTTTATAATGTCTCTTTTAATGTGATACAGCGTGGATTGTTGTCACCTGGTGCTCCATTTCAGCAAGCCAATGCTAGGCAGGTTCACCAGACGCATGAAGGTTACCTTTGCCTCCAACCAGCCTGCCCTCTCCGTGCCCTGTCCCTCCTCAGTGGGGTTCCTTCCTCACTGCCTCTGATCCCCAGATTCTCTACTACCAGGACATGCAATCAGGTGCAGATACCTTTGTACAAACTAATTTATATCACGGTGTCACCTCTCTTCAACCTGTTGGTATTTCAAATTGAAAACCTACCTGTAAAATGAAAAAAGTTGGTGATTGTCAAAGGGAATTTGAATATCAGAAAACAGGAAAAGAAAAAAAGGCATTTCCTTCTACAATCAAAATGCATGTTCAGCTACTTTCTTGATCTGAGGTTATTAGGAAGGCCCCAAATCATGGGGCCTCCCAATGAAATCCTATCAGACAGTTTCCTAAAAGTGGGTATATCTTTACTTATAAGTGAAGCTAGAGCCTTTATCAAAAGTGCCATTTTATTTATTTATTTCCCTTTTTTAAGGTAACACTGGTTTATAACACTAATATGATCTAGGGAAATGGGTTCATACTTCCACAGGTGAATGTCATCACCTGCCCTCCATCCAAGAAGCCATAGTCCTTTGCCCTAGACCATTGTTCCTCTCCATTCTTTATCTCCTCCTTCCCCTTCTGGTAGCAAAAGATGTTATTTTAAAGACACAAGGCCTCCACAACATTCAGTGCAAACAGAAAGAAAAGGATACCAAACTGAACCAAGGGACAGGGAAATGGAAGAACAAGGTAGTGGAATCTATGGACATGGTGATGAGTGGAGGAAAGATTTTCACACTTACAAGTTCCTTTGATATGGCCGTGATGTTGTTGGTGTAATTGAGAAAAAAGCAAAGAAAATTTACTAACAGTGATGAGGATGTCATAATTCTAAGCAGAGAGAACTGTATGTCAGTGAAAAGGCACAATGTGAAGGCTGACAACAAGGACCGTCTGAGGATAAGTCCATTGCTGGAAGCATCTGAAGACATGGGAGAGCTGATGCATGTGTCCTCACCTGCCTTGAGGCCTCATTTCTCGGTCATGGTTGTACCAATATTGGGAGCCTTTTGATCTGCATGACTCAGTGTTGCCTCTTCTGAGGTCTTTCTTTCTCTGGGTAGTCTCTCCTTTTCTCCTCCCTCACCGCCCCCTCAACCCCAGAAAGTGTTCCTTTCCTGGGGTTTCTATGTGACTCTAACTTTATTTTAAAGAAAAAGTTAAATGATGAGGCTTCATTTAATTTTTATGTTTTATGATGAGGCTTCATTTAATTTCTTTCTATCCACATAAAGGGCCTTGGAACAACAACACATACACACAACAGCCTATAAGAGGCACCTATATTGAATAACATTGAAACTGAACATTACAGACTAAGGTCAAGGTCTATGGGTACTTTGATGGTGAGTGAGCTGTGGTGACTGCACCCAAAGGGAGAGATTCTATACTTCAAAATACTAATGATGTAAACCAATGGTCCTTTAATAGAAAATTAAAAGAAATAAAGTTTTGAAGAATCAAAAAATAAAATTGAACATTGCTTTCTCAGAATGTTTTCTTAGAACATTGCTTTCTTAGAACATTGCTTTCTTATTGTTGAATTGAACTATAGATCTAGCCCAAACCAATCTTACTTGTAGCCAATGAATACAAATTTGACAGAAAGGCAGATTAGCATCCTTTCAAAGGTGGTTCATCAAATCTTCATTTATTCATTCATTTCCTGTGGTCAGGGAGACCAGCAGTGGGCTCTTGTATCTTCTTGGAGAATTATTTTAAAAAATGATTTGCATCCTTCTTGGTGGTTATGTTTCAAAAAAAAAAGGTGGGGAATAAATGTATTTTTAAGATGTTGGCTTGATCTTGCGATTTTTCTTGCCCATTCATTGCTTTTACAAGGAGACCAAGTATGTACTCAACCAATATTTAAATGTGTTTAAAATTCCAGAGGACTTTGTGGAATCCTTATCATCTTAAGCTGCATTAATCTCTGCTGTGAGCCCCTAGGTTGCAATACTGTGATCTTAAGAGTGGAATCCTGTAAGTTGGACCCATTTTCTGATGGTCAAAGGGTTTCATCAGAGTATTCTTTCTGTGCTAAAGGTCACTCAGAGCTGAGCGGGCCCAGCACGCTTTCAGAACTGACTTCATTTCCTGTGGTTTACAAGTTTCTTAAGTGTGAAATAAAGAACCCTAAGTGATTAAAATCCTTCAACTAAAAATGGGTGCAATGAAGAAAAAAAGTATGTGTTTTTGTAACCTTTCTGGAGAAGTGAGAGCAGGGTTCCACTGAGCAGCTTTCTAAGCAACCTGGTTGTGTGTGAGGCTGGCCTCTGTGGGAAGCCAAGACTCTCAGAGTTCAGGCTTTCTGACTGAGAGCGCGGGAGGTGACAGGAGACCTATTCTCTGATAACCGAGACATAGTATCTGTTTTACTTTGATGTCAGAGTAGAAAACTCCAAAAATGAGGTTTCTGCCCCAGCCAACTGTATTTCAGTTTCACCTTGAATATCATTTATGCAAAAAGTTACTTATCTTCTGTATGGATTTCCCTAAAATTCTGGCCAAAGAATGAATAGAACATCATTCAGGGAGGGAAGTAAGGAAAAAAAAAGGCTGGTGTACTCCTTTATGTGTGTTTACCTTCCTTCCATTTCCCGCTTGCAGCATGGCGAGCAGCCTGAGGGTCCTAGGAAGCCATTTAATAGAGAAAATGCCACTGGAGATGGTGATGACTTAGGGGTGTCCTGATTCCCACACCTCTTTATGGGACTGAACTGCTATACTTTTATTTTAGTCTAAGAAGTCCCACTAATTTTCCTCTCTTTCAAATAACCGTAATTGGATGTTCACTATCATATAAATTCCTCCCAGGAAGTGAAGTCATCGTGTTTGTTGCTGGAGGTTTACCAGAAAAAAAACCTGTGAAAGTGGTATTTCCTGTTACAAGAGCTAAGAACACTGGGCCTCCCTGGTGACTCAAGGGGTTAAGCACACACTGTGAGCTATCGAAAGCCTCTGTAGCACATGTTCAATCCCCGGCCAGCCAGGGAGCTACCTAATGGTGCAGCAGACCTCTCCTGTCTCTCCCGCTGCTGCCCTCAGCAGTGCATTTCAGTCAGTCTGCTGTTCTGTTCCCCACTCTGTGTCTGGTGAATCCTCTCACCCCCCATACCTCTGGCCTGAACCCCAGTTCTTATATGCATAAATAAATAATTTTTTTTAAAAAAAGATTAAGAACACCCCTAGACAGGAGGCACTAACATATATTCATAAAGAGGAAGGTGTTTCTAGAATTTCCTAAGGAATTATGCATTATCACAGTTAGTAGGAGGAAGTATATATATGTGTATATAAGTACATACATATACATATACATACACATGTTTTTTCTTTAAAGTATTGCTTTTCTTTTTATTAATGACATCAATATTTTTTATTTATTAACCATATAGGATTTCTCCCCTCAGGTGTGGGCACCATAGTATCCCACCACCAAAGCTCCCACAGTCCTTCACCATAGTCCATTATACTCTCTTCCCTGCTGTTTTCTCCCTTCCTATTCCCCCTCCCCTCCCTACAGTCTATGGTCAGCTTATCTGTTTATTTTTCAACCTAGAGTTTCTTCACTTGTTAAATCAATTAATATTGCCCCAGAACCCAAGATGCTTCCTTGGTGACAGGGGGTGGGAACTGAAATGAGGAGGGTAATGTTTGTCTCAGGCAGGAGAAGGCAGGAAGGGTACTTTGTATTTGAGGCAAAGAGAGACTTTTAAAGATGTAGCTGTCTGCTCCTAACTCACCACCATTTTCTAATGAGAAGGTGTCAAACTAATGAAATCAGTCTTCCAAGTTCTCAGCACTCTCCTAGGCAAGCTTGATTAAATGATATTGCCACCTACAGCTCCGAAACCACAGCATCCTCCTGTTCAGGGTCACGTAGCGAGCAATCTCTGCTTTTTCTCCTTTCTTTATGGGCAGACAGTTAATCCTTTCCAGATTTTTTTTATTCAGGAAATTAAACAGACGACTCGCTTATAAATGGGAAAAGACAAATATAAATAAAAATGAGGGTTTGGTTTAG